ATTGCATGCATTTTTTTTTTTTCATATCAGGAGGGCAGGGTCAGTCAATACTGAATGCCATCACTTTATTCATGCATCATCTTAAGTAACCAACCAAAGGTGGGGGAAATGGCAGAAAACACCTATTATCATGTATGAAGGGCAGATAGCTATTACTTCCCTTAATCCTAAAGACACTCCATAGCTGCAGGGGCACGCATTCTTTTTTAAATTCCCTTATTGATTAATTTTGTTATTCAAGGATTTCATACACATTTGAAATTCATTCTGGTTACTCTCCTGCCCTTCTCTCCTCTTCCCCACCCCTACCAACACCCCCCACCCCCCCACACACACAAAATACACACACACACTCCTTCCTTCCTTTCATTCTCTTTACCAGATTTGTGACTTTTGGTTTGGTGTTGTGACCTATGTAGTCAGGGCCACCTGTGTGAGCATTAGATTGGAACTCTTCCTGGAGCCTGGAGGAGTCACTAATAAGTACACCACAAAAAGCAAGGCCCTTTCCCTCCACTCCCCAAATCAATCAGTAGCAAATAATTAAGCAGTGGGGGCCCCCTGAGCATAGCACCCCACACACCAATTCATGCCTGACTGTTGAAGGGTCCATTCTTGAGCAAACTCTCAACTAATTACTTGAGTTCTTTATTTTTGCTATAATTAAAAACAAACAGTAAAACTTTCCCCAGAGCACTTGTGCTTCTGAACCTTCACCCACCTCCCTGGAGTCCTGCCTTGCACATTGCCCAGATAGATGCACATTCCCAGACGAAGGAAGAATGTGTCAACAGGATGGTTGCTAGCTAACTTCTCACAGTGACAAGCTAATGAAATGTCTATGAGAGGAGGCCCTCAGCTGAAGACAGACTTGCTACATTTCTGCCACATTTTCCTACCACACATTCAAGGGTATGGAGACAAGCTTTCAAACATCTGGCATTTTTACTGAAAGAAGGACTAATATTTTAAAGCCCTTGAATCATCTAGACTTAAAAAGAACTCTAGCTTGACTAGACAGGTTCACAAATTCTTTATGTCAGAGGGAGAAGAGAATGGGTGGTGATGTTTTTCATACTTGGGAAAATAATAACCCAAAAAGTAAACTCAAATTTTCTTGATTTATATCTTTACATGTTTTATTATGTTTCTATTGTTTTTATTTCATTTTTAGTTGGAAATAGAGTCTTCTCTCATACAATACACCCCAAACCACAGTTTCCCCTCCCCCACTCCTCCTAGCCCCAGCTCCACCTCCCTCCTGTTTTTATTCTAAAGGCATGTATTTCTGACTCTGAAGGGCAGAATAGTGCTTTTTAATTTTTTTTTAGTAAACCTGAAACATGTGTGTGTGTGACATTGTTGTGCACATATATTGCTGTACTTTGATTATATACTCACCTTTTCCCAGTACACCCTCCTGCTGCTCCATGTCCTTGTCCCAAGCAGTCCCAACCCCCATTCCATTCTCAAGCCGTGCACATATTTAAACCTGGGCTCTGCTTATGAGAGAGGTCACACCATGTCTATCTTTTCTCCCCTCCTCCCATTACCCTCTCTTGTTTCTCCCTTTCTTTCAATTCCTTCCTCTAAGCAGGATGATGCCAGCAAGCCTGATAACCTGAGTGCAATCCCTGGAACACTCCTAGTAGACAGAATCACTTCACAGGATTTCCTCTGACCTCCACAAGTTTCCCACAGCACACGTGTACCCAGACATTCACAAAGTAAATAAATAAAGGAAATTTTAAAACTTAAATAAAGCAAGTGGGGTAATTACGATGAACCACATAACCATTCCAAACACAAAGTGCTGCTATTTCTAGGAATAGGGAGAGCAAGCTTTCCTTCTCTGACAAAATGTCTCTGTAAATAAAAATCCATTGAAACAAAAATTAAAAATAGCCTATGACTGTAGGGAAAGATCTATGTACCTGTACTGATGACCACACCACATTTAATGACTGCAAGACTGTAAGGCACAGTGATGCTGGTCACCAATCTCAGCACTTCAGAGGTTGAGGAGTTTAAGGCAGGAGGACCATGGGTTCAGTTAGAGTCTAGGCTATGTAGCGACCTTAAGTCAAAAGAGAGAAATGTGAGGTGAGATAAAGAAAAGAAAGTAAGAAAAGGGGAAGGGAGGGAGGGAAAGAGAGGGGGAGGAGAAACAGAAAAATATAAAAAAAAAAATAGGAAAAGAGAAGAAGGGTAAAAGATAAAGAAGCAAAGTCGGTAGATGATGGGGGATGTCCTTCTGTATATATGTTTCTCTTATTGGTTGATGAATAAAACACTGTTTGGCCAGCAGACAGGCAGGAAGATAGGTGGAACTAGGAGACAAGGAGAATCCTGGCAAAGGTAGGCAGGGAAAGACCACAAAGAGGCACCATGTAGAGACTGGGAAGACACGCTAGGCTTTCTCTGGTAAGCCAGGACAATGTGGAAATACATAGATTTAAAGAAATGGGTTAATAATTAAGACAAAGCTATGCAATAAGAATCCCTAGCCATCGGCCAACAGTCATATTACTAATATAGTGCCCGTGTGCTTATATGGGGCTGAAAGCAGTTGTGGGACCTGGCAGGAAAGATAACTCCAGCAACAGGTAGACAACAAATAAAGACTCACACACTACAAAGAAATAGATGAACTTGAAAATAAGTTTATAAAAGATGAATAAACACTAATACTGAGGTAAGTGCAACCTGAAATAAAGTGCCATTTCCTATTCATGACATTAAGAAAACTGTGTACCAGTGGGATGCTACACGGGGAGATAGAAATGGCCTACTGTCAAAAGCTGACTGTGTCAGTGACCTTCTTTGAAAACAAATTTGCAGCATCTAGGAAAAGGCACTTATGCAGTTCTGGGACTCATGAAGATGATGTCAAAGCCTAGAGGCATGTACCAAAGCCTTCTCATCAGCAATATGAAATGGAAACAACCCAAAATCTGTCAGTAAAAGAAAAGAATCACTGTGTATCATGGAATAAGTCCACTGAGAGAAATTAAAACAAAGTACAGTTGTATGGATATAGATAATTGTTGCAACAATAACTTGAATGAGAAACATAATAATTATGTAACAATGCACTATTAGTGCTTCATTTTGGAATTTTCCTTTTATATAGGTCCATTGTGATTTGTTGAGTTTTGTTTGTTTGAGATAGGGTCTCACATAGATCAGGCTGATCTCAAAGTTCTTATATAACTGAAGTAATCCAAATAAGAAATGTCCCCCACAAACTCATATATTAAAAGACTTAGTCTCCAGTAGGTGACGCTGTTTGGGGAAGTGAGACCTGGTTGAAGGAAGCATGTCAGTGGGGGAGTTTTAGCCTCACCCTGCTTCCTGTGTGTGCTTGACATGTGGTCCCTCAGCTTCCTGTTCCTACTGCCATGCCTTCCCGGACAATATCGATTTCTAGTCCTCTAGAACCATAAACCAAGGCAAACTCTTCATTACATTGCTTTGGGTTATGATTTTTATCACAGCAACAGAAAAATATCCATGGATAACCATGAACTTCTGATCTCCCTCTCTACCTTCTTGCCCCAACAAGTGCTGAGATCACAGGCACATGTCACCATACTGAACTTTCGGTGACTTTTCAAAGCACATTGAAAAATGACACATACTGAATAAATGCCAATTTCAAAATAGCCCATTAAATCAACTTTGTACATTTGTGGGAAATGCAGAATTTTCATTTCTGGCTTTGAGGCATATGAAGATATACCTTATTGTTATCTGTACTGTTTTAAAGTCCTGATATGCTTCATAATTTAATAAACTGTTCACAAGATTTATCATTTAAGAACTTGTGCTACTTTAACCAGAGTAAGCTCTTTAGTGACAGGGGTAATCCCCCTCTGGACATAGCTAGAGAGGGGGTCATGGTTAGTAGTATGGCAGCGTAGGTTGAGGGCTGACACAGGAGATCACTGGGGATTGGAGAGACAGAAGGGGTGGGTGGGAAGGAAGCAGTAATTGATCTGGAACCTCTGAAGGAGAACTAGACTTAGAGACCAGCAAGATTCCAGAAGCAACCCAGTGCAAATGGTTGAGGGCAATGGGCTGCTAAAATGGGAAGTAAAAAGACTCAAGGTCTCAGCATACCCTAAAATGTGGCAAAAATAGACTAAGATATTGGGAGAAATGGTTCAGTTGGCAAAGTGTACAAAGGCCTGACTTTTTCAGCACCTGTGTAAAAAAGCCAATGGTGGTGGGATTCTCTTCTAATCCCACGCCTGCTGAGGCAAAGACAGATGGATCCCTAGGGTTCCATGGGCAGACAGTCTAGGTCCCAGTGAGAGACCTTGTCTCAAAAATGATGAACAATTTCCCTGAAACAACAGCTGATGTTGACCTCTGGTCTCCACAGGCATACACATGCACATATACACACACGTACATTCGCCCATGTGTGCACACACTAAAGAACAAACTACAGTAGGCTAAGAGGAGAAATACAAGAAACTGGTCAGATTCCAGAAGTCAGAGAATAATGATAGCTGGATTCAGAAATTCAAAAACAAAAACAAAACCACACAGTCACTGTGCTTGGCACATGAGGTTACCCCAGTGGTCTGTGAGGGAAGGCCCACCTGGAAGTCCTCAGGATCCAGCTGGAAGAAGCCAGGGGAAAAATAGGTTTAAAAGCCAAATACTTCAGTAGCTGGGAAAGAGCAAGACACAGATGACCTTCCAACGTCTGACTTTACTTTTGTTTTAAGAAGAAAATGAGTCATTAAAAAAGTAAATGTCTAGCAGAGGTAACTGGCTTCCCGAAAGATGCCCATGGAGCACTCAGTAGCAAAGGCACAGAGTTTTGTGCAGCTTGCAGAAGAAAGGCGTTTTGACTGACATTGATTGAGATTCTGTCTTTTCCCGCTCCAGCTTCCTTTACTGCTCGGCAGACTTTCAGGGACCTGAGACATTTATGGAATCTAATTAAGGAGACAAGCTGAGTGTGCATTTTTATTTGGGTTCAGAAAAACATGTTTACACAGCATGGAGTCATTTCCACGTATGGTTATTGCTGGCCATAGACTGGTGGGAGGGGCTTCCAGGAATAATCTTACTGTCCATCCTGGCCAACTCACTTGGCATCATGATAGAAGGTTCCAGGCCAGAAGAATGAGTCTTGTGGAGCAAAATGTTGGGAGAGTCAATGTTTATAATAGAGGGAGACAGAAGGTAGACTGTAGATAACCCTTTAAAGCACCTAAAGTGAAAAAGTATAAATGGAGGAGATACAGGAGCAAGTCTAGAGGCAGGCAGATGGTTTAAAAGGGTACTGTGGCTTCCACACACGTTCATGTCTGGGGAGTTTGTCAGCATTTGTGAATCTTTGCTGCTTCCTTGTCGCTTTCTGCAAACACTATTTAATATTTAATCAGACTTTAGAGAGACCTTCCAATGATGCTCCAGCTTCAGGCTCCCCAAGACTTAGATCCATTCTACTTGTTAAAAGTTCGATTCATAACAGTATGAATGATTAGAAATTCATGCCTACTTTTCCCTAAAGAATACAAATTGCAACATAGCCAAGCATCATTTATTTTGTTAAAATTTATGTAATCACTGTTTTCCTAAATTTAATCCCAAGACCAAGGAATGAGGCCAAAATTGTGAATACAGCCATTCTTGCCAAATTCAATGACCTCTTAGTGGTATGATAGTTTCCATGAATTTTTATTCTTAATTTCTTTTTTCATTACTATTTGGACAAAACTGGAAAAAGTGACTGATAATCACAGCCATTTTAAAAAATGAAAATGCCAGAAGTCTACAGAATGTATTGAGACTGAAACAATTCTGAAAAGCTACTTGAAAACTCACAAGATCCCAAGGTCCACTGAGAGTGGATGTGGAGGGAATTCCATCCATAAAAAAGAAAAACTAAATGGCCGCAGACACACAGTGGAAAACCACTCCATTTTAACCAAAGATAAAAGCCAACTTGATCACCAAACCATTGCCCCTGATTGATGACTTCTACTAGGATGCCCCTCTGAGCACTTGCATTGACTTCTACCGAGCCTCTTGGTGGACTCCTTTCCATCCTACAGGTGATCCTTCATGCTTCTTGGGGACATGTGCAGACCCTTCTGAGAAGAGAGGACATGGCCTCTCTTCTAAAACCACTTGGTTTTGTTTAAGAGGAAGTAAGGACTTGCCTGCTTAAGAAAACTGGAGGCTCTTCCTGACTCTCTCCCATTAGTCGAACACCTCCCATGGAGAGCACAAGCACAGAAAGGCACCCAGCCTCCTCTGTCCTCAGTGCACTCAAGCCCCAGGCTGCAATGGACCTGGCCTCCACCCAGCATCCACTTTAGGGCAGAGCACATTGGGGAAACAACTTAGAAGGAGTTTCTTTTGTTACAATTCACCAATAGTATGTAAAATATCTATCAAATGTACTTTTTGAAACAATGTCTCATGTACCCTAGGCTGGCCTTCAAACTTAGTAGGTAGCAAGGATGATAGTTAACTTCTAATTCTTCTGCCTCCACCTTTTAATATATACCATTATACTCAGTTTATGCAGGCTGGGGATCGAACTCAGGGATTCATGAATGCTGGGGGAATACTCTACTCACTGAGCCACACCCCAATCCTGTTATAAGCATTTCTATTTTCTTTTGTCTCACTTGCTTGTTCATAGCTTTTTTCTTCCTTCCCTTCCTTTCTTTTTTTCTTCTGACATTTGTCTTTTTCTTTCTTTTATTCTGGAAAGAAAAAAGAAAAAATAAGTAACTTTGACTTGTCAAATTATAAAGCAGTGGGGTTAGAGAGATAGCTCAGCAATTAAGAACACTTACTGCTCTTACAGAGGACCAAGGTTAGTTGCCAACACCACATAACAATTCACAAGCACCAGTTCCTAGGAATCTAATGTCCTCTTCTGACCTCCACAGTTTCCTGCAAGCAAGTGGCACAAATACATACATGCAGGTACAACATCCATACACACAAAATTGAAGTAAATAAACAATTTTTAAATGATTAAATACCCCACCTGTGAGATCAACAGTTCTCAGGATTGGGGGGGGGGCAAGATAGTACCTATTCCTGCCCATGCCTCTTGTCCAGAAAAGGGAGTCACCATAGATAGATCTGCTGATAGCTTTGAACTCTACAACCTCCAATTTCCAATTTTACCGTTAGTAAGCTACCTAGTGCGCTGAAATGAAAACCAGTAACTGTGTAGGTTAAAGGAAGATCACATCTCCTGTTTTGTTTGTTTGTGTTTTGCTTTGTTTTTGATGGCACGCTAATGAGATGAATGAGCAATCATATTCTCGCTGCCATCTTTCCCTCCCATAGACCCTGTGCAGTGCCCAGGGGCTTGCTCCACAGCTGCAGGCACTATAAGGGTCCCTGATCTGTGGGTTTCCTCTCAAGATTCTATCCTTACTTGGTGCCCACACATCTCCCTGTGAGGCAGACATACCCACCACCCTCCTAACTTCATCTCAGCTGGTCCTGGCCTCAAGGCTGGGATGGTGCTCACAGTGTACAGAAGCTAGGTCCCCTAGGTTCCTCTGAACAGCGGTTCTTTAACACAGCATCCATGACTGTCATATAAATATAAGGATATATATATATATATATATATATGGAATTTTAATCATATTCTCTTCAACTATTCTAGTATCTTGTATCTTTATTTCACATCTTGTAGATTTCTGTCTTAATTTCTTAAACTTAAAAAATTAATTTATGTGTATGGGTGTTTTGTCTGCATGTATGCTTATGTACCTCATGTTTGCAGGCACACTCAGAAGTTAGAAGAGAGCTAGGATTTCTAGGACTGGAGTATAGATGGAATGTAAGTTGTCATGTTCATGCTGGGAATCAAACCCAGGTCCCCTGGAAGAGCAGTCATTGCTCTTAACCACTGTGTCTTTTTTCCAACCTCTGTGTCATTTCTTGACTAGACTGGAAGACTTTTGGAGTAAGTCTTTTGGTGTAAGACTTTTGACATAACTCTCTAAGCTTCCTAGAAAAATATTTCCTTGTGTATATGACATATTTAATAAATGTTAACTAGCTAACATAATTTGTAGGATGGCTAGATGGGTGGAGAACAGCCATCATCCAGAAGATAATGTTTGCTTCTCATAGCCACAGAGAGTCACACAAAGAACAATCAGTGTATTTAGCATGTTCCAGAACCAGCAGCAAGCAGGCCCTGATGACCAGTGAGTCCACACCACTCCACAAAGGGGGTGGGGTGGACCTCACCTATTCTTTCCGTCATTCTGTCTTCTGATTCATTGAGACATGGGCACTATGCAAAGTAAGTAAGGTACAGACAGACCCTGCAAGACAGTGCCCAGTCCACTGGGAAAGAGACACATGCTGACAGACTGAAGGGAACCCCGGCTGAGGGATACCAGTATATGGAGCAGAAGGAGGGAGTTTGTCCTTCCTGGGGAGAGCAGGACTGTCTTCCAAAAGGACATGGGGTTTGGAGCAAAATTCTGTTGAACCTAGCGTGCCGGCACAAAATAAAGGAGAGGGTATTTGAGAAGAGACAACAGACACATGTATCATAAGAAGAAAGGAGAACCTGGCGCAACCAGGAAGAAGTTCAGCTTCTGTTACCCCAAATTAATAAAACAATAAGGGATGTCAGTACTGGATATTATAGATACACAACAGTAACCTTCAAATATTTTGGAGGCTGCCAAGATATATCTCCCCTCCCTTTCTCCTCTCCCCACTCTCACTGTGTGTGTGTGTGTGTGTGTGTGTGTGTGTGTGTGGTGTGGTGTGCAAGGCAAACCCAGTGAAAGGAAAACATATTATAAAAATAACAAGGAGGTTGAATCTAAGAGTGGTGGGCTATGCACAATATCCCATTACTTGAGCTTCCCGGAAACTCAGGTTAATTTAAATGTTTCCCAGAACCGTCTTGGCTTTATTGAAACCCAAAGGGAAGCTCTTGGCAGGCTCGTGGAGCTGCAGCTCCAGGTTGAGGCTGAGGCAGAAACAGAAGGCCTGCCTGGGTCAGGGGTACACTCCTGCTCTGCAGCTCATCTCGTCCCTACACGATCATTGAAGAAAAGGAATGCAGGTCACTAAGGTCAACTGCATGTTCCATTTTATCACTGTACTCCAAATTTAAACTCCAGCGGGGGAAATCACATTCCTCAGCCAAAAGAAGACAGTATTTCAGATAGACAGCCTTAGTCAGTGAAGCACAATTTCCCCCAAAAAGAACTCAGGGTCAATGACAGAAGGCCAGAAACAGTCTCAAAAACAGAATGTCCAATACTCTGGAAAGGGAACCTGGCTTGGGAGGAGGAGAGAAAATACTGAGAGACTAAAGAATGCACCCAGGTGCACAACTGTAGTCCATGGGTAGCCAGGAGCATGGAGGAATGATGGGACCCAGACATCTATGAGAGTGCTCCTGCTGCTGCGTTGGAGCTTGTTCTGCCCACAGAGAGAGAAGGAAGCACAGTTCTTGTTCTTGCTGCAATTAGAGAAACTGCATAATCTAAGATGAATTTAAGTGAGGCAAAAGGAAGGAGTACTTGCCCCTTCCTTGGGTGCTGCATGGCCACAGCTAGAGCAGACATCATTAAGTTATTCTTTGTGCATGATGTATTCTGGCTACGTTCACCCACCCCACCTTCTGTTACTCCTCCTCCTCCTCCCATCAAATTGCACTTTGATGCTTTTTGGTTTCCCATTGTAATCTGCTGTTTAATTAGGCCTATGCTCATAGATGTGAGTGTGGAGCTGTCCACTGAAGCAGGACAGCTTCAGTGGCTGCATCACTGAAACTGGTGACTTCCTCTCCTCCAGCATCAAGAGACTAAAAAGGCCCTCCACAGTCTATAAATGAATGCTGGCCATGTCTTATGCAGTCCTTATGCAGGCAACCGTAGCTGCTGAGAGTTCCTAGTGCCCTAGCCTTGTCATTTCCATAAGACTGTGTTTCAGGGTTCTTCCCCCCATTACCTGTCTCTTACCTTCTTTCCATCCCTCTTCTGTGATGTTCCCTGAGTGCTGGAAGTGGTGATATAAGTGTCCTGTTCAGTGACAAGCACTTAACAGTTACTTGTTCTCTGTACCTAGGCCAACCACTAAACTCTGCATTAACTGCAGAGATAATTAACAGGCACTTTGACAACATAGCAAAACAAAAGGGATGGGTTCATCACTGCTACTTATGAACACCCCAGTCACAAGTCTTTAACCAGGTCCACAGGTTCACAGGTGTGAAACTCCCTCCCATAGAGCAGGCCTCAGAGCCAAACAGAAATCAGGTAGTTACCCCCATAATAGGCATGCCATTGTTATACCTGTGAGAACTTCTTGCCTGGGAAGATCTGAAGCTGAAAAAGACCATTGCTGGCTTTACTCCCCAGCTGCCTGCACAGCAGTTTCTTCCCCTGTGAAAGCTAGCCAGTAGGAAAGAAGCTACCATCCCAGGCCAAATGTGGTTTCTTTTCTGCTGTAGTCTCTTGCTGAGCCTGAAGCCCCCTAATTCAGCTAGGTTGACTGGCCAGCAAATCTCAAGGCCTTCCAACTTTTACCTCTCCAGCACAGAGCTTACAAGCACACACCTCCACAAGGTGGTTTTTTATGCGAATCTTAAACTTGGGATCTCATGCAAGCCAAGCACATTAACAATTAAATCATCTCCCTTCCCGGCCTTCTCTGAACTCTGGGGTTTTCAAACAGGCTCTCTAAATGATTAGATATCACTTACACTGCAAAAGGTCCTGCATCTCTTCCTTCTACTTTACTAGAGACTTTAAGGGCAACTAACCTGTGAGGTGCAAAGCACAACCTAGGCCACTTTGCTTAAACCAGAAACCAAAATGCAAGAGGGCAGACCCCATGCCAAACTCCTGTGTTTACCTGACCTCATAATTGTGTGGCTATGGAATTGGGAGTATGCCAAAATGCCCCAAGCTATTCATTGAAGCCTTAAGATTTACTCTATATATGCAACAATCAAGTGTACATCAACTTAATACTAAATGCTGGGACTCAATTACAATCTTTAGGTGCCACATGTTCAACAGGAAGAGTAGAAGGAAGCAGCATTGTGCATGTGTCTGCTTAACACTGGGAACCAGAGCTCAGTCTAGATGTGGCATGTGCACCAGGCAGGGTAGAAGGAAGGGCCCAAGAGAAGCACAAAGGCAGAGCCAGGACCAAGGGGAAAGCAATGCAGTTATTCCTTAAAAATGCTGACATTTAGACCCTTTACTATCCTCTCTCCCTATGGAAAACTAAGCCAATTGCTTATGACTTTTTTCCTATTTCACTGAATCCTCTACTTGCCCGAAATAATTTTTACTTATAGGATGATATCACGGGGGATTAAGAAATGTGCAGGCCCCGACCCATCAGCAACTAGGTGAGTGACCCCCTGCTTTTACCCAACTCCTGTCCAAAGCACCATTCACCCAGATCTCCCCGTGCCTTCTTGAAATAGACACGCCCAGGCAGGGAGGAGCTCCCTGAATCGGGGTACAGGCCACTCTTCCTTCCGTTCCCGGCAACCTATCCACCAGGAGAGTGAGGAGACTACGAGGAGAGGCAAGACCATCCAGAGCTTCGGACATTGAATTCCTGGCCCACACACACTACAGAGTAATAAGAGGAGATAGAGAGATCCTACCTGCACTCACTGGAAAAAGATATGGGAAGAAGACAGAATAAGAACTCACTCAACAACAGAAAGCAAGCAAAAAATTACATGAAATGGAGGAAAAGACAAACCAAAAAATTCAAGAAATAAACAAATTTCTTAAAGAATCTAAAGAAACCCAAGAAAAAACAACGAAACAAGTGAAGGAAGCTCTTGAAACAGTTCAAAGCATGAAAGCTGAATTAGACACAATAAAGAAAACACAGAATGAGGTGATGCTGGAAATGGAAAGACTGGATAA